AATTAGCCGGGCATGGTGGCGCATGCCTGTAGTCCCAGCTACTCGGGAGGCTGAGGCAGGAGGATTGCGTGAGCCCAGGAGTTTGAGATTTCTGTGATCTAGGCTGACGCCACGGCACTCACTCTAGCCCGGGCAACAGAGTGAGACTCTGTCTCAAAAAAAAACAAAAAAACAAAAAAAAAATTCTTTGATTTTATACCATTTTCCCTGAAAATAAATTGAAGATTCTCACTTATGTTAGTGATGTTGTTAAAAATGAGGCAGAATAATATGTTTGGAAATAGAGACTGGAGAAAGCTAATGTTTACCATCATAAAGTGTAAAAAAGTTGTAAGATAAAAATGATTTGAAACCTACCAGTGGTCCCCAATCAACACCATTAACTTTTTAGTTATTTGTTACTCTAGCTATATACTCTAGCACAGTGCACCAGTGCACCAATGTGCACAACAATGTAATTTTTTGATTAGATGACTTTCTATACCGAGTAGTATTTACCATTCATGCTCAGTTGTCTATGGTTAGTACACTGTTTTCAAGTTGAGTTGAAGTGTATAGAATGATCTTAATCATTATAGGTATTATCTCACTAAAGTGAAATAAGAATCATCATAATAAATAATAGATGTCATAAATATCATAACTGACAGAAAACTGTCACATTCAAAATTCAGGCACAGAAAAATCATCACTGTAAAAATTACTTTACTTGTTGAATTGGTGGAGATGAAAAATTGAGAAAAAAGCCAATCTAGTATCTAAAAAATAGCCATGAAAAAAATCTATCAGGAATTAAAGTGACCGTTGCCATAAGAGTTATGTCTAAAAATTACAGCATTAAAAATGCCAAAGGCCACTTTTGTTCTTGGAATCATGTACTCAGATGTAAATAATAAGCTTCATGAGGGCAGAAACAGCCTCTTTCTTACTTAATATTATTTACTGTTGTACCCAGAATATAGCAAGACCCTGAAACATGGGTAAGAAATTCTTGCATAACCTATTTTTTTCTGTCAAGATTTCAGAACTGAGAGCACATGATAAAAAACACTGGGCAAGCATCTAATCAATTTTCTGACAAAACATTTCTTTGTTGAACACCTAAACTGAGAATTGTGAGAGTATAGATAGTATCCTTTTTTTTTATCTCCTCTGTGAATTTTTTTTTATTATTTATTTATTTTTTTAATTTTAGCATATTATGGGACTACAGATGTTTAGGTTACATATATTGCCTTTACTCCATCCAAGTCAAGAGCTTCAAGCATGTCCATCCCCAGACAGGTAGTATCTTAGTTTGAGGACATCCCTTCTTTCTTTTGATAAACTTAAATGTCTCCTGATCACCTCCAGCCAGATACAATTTCTTCCTTCTGTGGTTTCTTAAGATTGTGCCTCACATAGTCTTATTTTACCTTATATTGCAGTTATTTTGTATTACTATCTGTGTGTATGTCTTTCTCCCTATTAGATTGCAAAGTCCTGAATGAAATGACTGTTTTTCATTTATGTGTGTATTTTTACCAGAATCTAGTGCCAAGGCAAAAAATAAAAAAAAATTCAGAATAGTAATGTCTACTTTTTTTTGAGACAGAGTCTCACTCTGCTGCCTGGGCTAGAGTGCCATGGCGTTAGCCTAGCTCACAGCAACCTCAAACTCCTGGGCTCCAGCGATCTTCCTGCCTCAGCCTGAGTAGCTGGGACTACAGGCGCACGCCACCACGCCTGGCTAATTTTTTCTATTTTTAGTAGAGACAGGGTCTCACTCTTGCTCAGGTTGGTCTCGAACTCCTGTGCTCAAGTGATCCTCCCGCCTCGGCCTCCCAGAATGCTAGGATTACAGGCGTGAGCCAACTTGCCCAGCCTCAAAAATTTGATTGAGGAAAAAAACTCTAAAAACCAACTTCAAGAAATATTAATATTAATACAGCGTTCTTACCTGTATTGATATGTACATAAAATCATGAAGTTTCCTAAAAGAAGGAAAAAAGAAATTCTTCAAAGACTTACCAGAAGTGGTATTATTCGTAAAGTATTTTTGATGGATGGATTTTTGCAAATGGTTTCTTGTATATCTGAAATAATTATACCACAATACAAAAATAATTTAGTTACATATATTGAAAGAGAAGAATGACTAAAGAATCAAATATTAAATTCTGATGTGTCAAAATATTCAAAATTGAGTAAGAAGCTTTTTTTTCCCATCGATCCCAGAAATAGTTTTTATATTAGGTCCAAAAATAGAGCAATTTGATTAGAAACAATTACATAAAACTTATGTTAATAAGAGAATTCCTAGTACTTTGACTATTATATAACCACATTTATTTAAATGTTATGTTTTCTTTTTCCTTTTTCCTTTTTTTTAAACCCAAAAATGAATTTCATCCTTGTAGCCTCTCAGGAAAAAAGAGATATTTATTTAGTTATTAAGGCATAAGAAATTGAGTAATTTAGTCAATGCTTGCCTTTTCAATTTTTAGGTTTTTGTTCATACGATAGGAAGCATCTGAGCAAAATAAAAATAATTCAGGCAGAATCTTTTATATGAAGTATTTAAATAAGTAGAAGTATCATATAGAAGTAAAAATCCTCCAATTATTGACCTGAGTTTTTTATTCTTTATCTGCATAATTTTATATCTTACAGCCTTAGTTTTACGTTGCTTTTGTGGTTGTAGCTTCCTGCTTTTTATTAATATATTATTTTAAAATTTAATCTTAATTTAAAAGTTAACATACATACAAAGAATGTATAAAACATATATGCATATTTTAATTAATAAGGCTAATGTCTGTGTAATCACCTAGATTAAGACATTTGAACATTATCACTATCCTAGGAGCTTCCTGGAGCTCCCTGCCTCTATCTACCATGCCCTACAGATTGCATTCTCTTCCTTCACCCACAGAGGTAACTGACCCACTATATTGACTTTGTTTCTTTGTCATTCTAGTACGTATGTATACATTCCTGCAACGTAATATTATTTAGTTTTATCTGTTTTGGGACTTCACATAAATGGAATTGTGCCATTTTTTTCTGTGATTTTCCCTTAAAATTATATATTTTTAGATTCATCCATGATGATGTGTGTAGCTATAGTCTATTCATTTTCTTTCCTGAATAATATTTCATCAGATGAATATACCAAGTTTAGATGTTTTATATTTTTGGCTTTTACAAACAATGATGATCTCTATATACTTGTATATGTCTCCTGATGGACATATGGAGGATTTTCTTTAGAGTAGGCACCTAAAAGTGAAATTGCTGGGTTGTAAGATATGCTCATGTTCAATGTAATTGGTGGTGGCAAAACATTTCCTAAAGAAATTGCACCAATTTACACTCCTGCCAGCATTATATAAGAGATGCTATTGCTGCACATCTTTACCAACACATAGTATTGCCAGGCTTTTAAACTTCTACCTAATGAATATCTTATTGTTTTAACTTGTATTTTCCTATTACTAGTGAAATTGAGCATCTTTCAATGTTTATTGTTGTTTGCACTTCCTTCGTTGTGAAGTTCCTGTTCAAGTCTTTTTCCCCCCATTATTCTATTGGGTTGTCTTTTTCTCTTACTGATTTATAATTTTTTACATATTTAGAATGAGTCCTTTATGTATTACATTTTCTTTAACTTTGTGACTTGTCATTTCATTATTTTAATGTTTTGATATTAAGAGAAATTTGTAATTTTAATATGATAAAATTTTTTAATTTTTTCCTTTATGGATTATGTTCTTTGTGTTCTACATAAGAAATCCTTCCTTATCCTAAGGTTAAAGATATTTTCTTATATTATTTTCTATAAGCTTTATATATTTTCTTTCACATTAAATCTTTAATCACGTTGAAACTGATTTTTGTGTGTATGATTGGTGGTAGGAGTTCAATCTGATTTCTTTCTATTTAGTATTATTTCAATATGGAGTGACAAACAGCTTGTCTGAAAATAATCCTAGAAGTTTATCATACCTTTTCTGGAAATGTGCTATCTGGGATCCAAGAATAGGTCTTCACCCCAAGTGAGAGGGACTGTACCTAAATTCAATTTCCCATGAGATCACTAGTTCCTTCTTCCCAGCAAAAAAGGATGCCAGTTCTCACACTGGAATTCTAATTACATGTTTATTAGACTAGTTTATATTGTTCCACAGCTCTTGGATGCTCTGTTTTCTGTTTTTGTCCCCACCTTTTTGTTTTTTCTCTTGATGTTTCAGTTTGGAAAATTTCTATTGACCCATCTTCAAATTCATTGATTCTTTCCTTAGCTGTGTTGAGTCTACTGATGAGCACATATAAAACATTTTCCATTTCTGTTATAGTGCTTTTATTTCTCACATATCTGTCTCTTTTCTGTAGTTTTCATCTCTCTGTGATCCATCTGTTCATACACGTTGTCTATCTCTCCAATGTTGTCCATCTTTCCCACTATTACCTTTAACATATTAGTCATTGTTATTTTAAATTACCTGTTTGATAGTTCCAACATCTTGGTCATCTCTGTAACTCATTCACTGACTGCTTTGTCTCCTGATTGTGTTTTTTTGTTTTCCCTTGCTCTTTTTGTGTGTATCATAATTTTTTACTGAATGCTGGACGTCATTTTTTAAAATAGTGGAGACTGAAGTAAATAGTATTTGTGCCTGGAAATGCGTATACCACTTCTTCTGTTAGGCCATTGGTGTGTGTGTGTGGTGTGTATATGTAGATGTTCAAAAACTTAGTAGGGAATTTGAGCTGGGTTTGGGTTTTGTTGTTGTTATAGTTACCTACAGTACATTACTCATTTCAAATTCCTCAAGTGTTATTTTGTGTTTATGCAGGGGTCCTAGAGGGTCACCCCCAACCCCCTGCAATGTTCCTGTTCCACCCTCAGATTTTGGCTTTCCTATGTGTCTGCACAATAGAAGGGATCTCTCCTATGTTCCTGCCTGTCTCCCAGCAGTAGATTTCTATTGCTTGTTACTTGATATACTTGTTGGCCTGATGGTGGAGGAATAGGGGAGTTTTTCTGTTGTCCTGGTCCAGGCTCAGTCTTAAACAGACCCATGTGCCTTCTCTGTCCTCCTTACCCTGGCAGTTAACTTTGCCTTGTATCTTTGGCAGGTTTTGGACAAGAGAATTTTGTGCCTCTCCTCAAATAGTAGGATACCGCTAATGGTCTTTGCCCTTTTGGACTGTTTCTTGCCCCTCTCCCAGGGGTAAAGGCTTTTTTCTTTTACCTTTCCCCTATGCCCAATAAGTCTTTACCTATTTCTTGAGGGCATTCAACAAGGTTTGCTGCTTCTGCCCAAGCACCTTATGGTTTTTATTCTGCAGGGGCAAGGTTCTGCATGGGGCTTCATGCCCTTCCCACATCAGTGGCTGCTGCTCTTCATCAGGCCCAGAAGAGTTTCTCTGGTCTCTTGCTCTGCATCTTATCTTTCTGATAAACACACAGTGTAGATCCATGGAGAAGAATTTGTGAGTAGGTGTAAATTTCCTTTGTGCCTAAGGCTCCCAGGCGTTCTACATCCTCACAGTAGTCCCCATTCATCCTTTAGCAATCTTTTGAAAATTTATTTCAGAATATTATGGGGGTACAAATGTTTTGGTTACATGGATTGTTTTTGTACTGCTTTAATCAAAGTTGTAAGTGTGACCATCACCCAGATGGTGTACACTGTACTCATTAGGTATGATTTCACCCATCCCCACCTCCCACCTCCCACCTGCATGATTTCCATTGCGTTTCACTTCCATTTGTGCACATGAGTGCTGATTGTTTAGTTCCAATTTAATAATGAGTACATGTGGTGTTTGTTTTTCCATTCTTGCAATACTTCACTTAGGAGAATGGTCTCCAGTTCCATCCAGATTTTTACAAAAGGTATTAATTCATTTTTTATGGCTGAGTAGTACTCCATGGTGTACATATACCACATTTTATTAATCCACTCATGAATCGATGGGCACTTGGGTTAATTCCACATCTTTGCAATTGTGAATTGTGTTGCAATAAACATTCTAGTGCAAATGTCTTTTTGATAAAATGACTTTTTTTCCTTTGGGTAAATGCCCAGTAGTGGGATTGCTAGATCAAATGGTAGGTGTGCTTTTAGTTCTTTGTGGAATCTCCATACTTTTTTCCATAGAGGTTGCACTAGTTTTGCAGTCCCACCAACAGTATATAAGTGTTCCTTTTTCTCCACATCCACACTAGCATCTATTGTTTTGGGACTTTTTGATAAAAGCCATTCTCACTGGGGTTAGGTGATAACTCATCATGGTTTTAATTTGCATTTCTCTGATGATTAGTGATGTTGAGCATTTTTTCATATGTTTATTGGCCACTAGTCTATCTTCTTTTGAAAAGCTTCTGTTCATGTCTTTTGTCCACTTTTTAATGGGGTTGTTTGATTTTTTTTCTTGCCAATTTGCTTGAGTTCTTTGTAGACTATGATTATTAGCCTTTTATTGGATGTATAGCATGCAAATATTTTCTCCCATTCCATAGGTTGTCTATTTGCTCTGTTGATTGTTTTGTTGGCTGTGCAGAAGCTTTTTAATTTAATCATTTATTTTTGTTGTTGCTGTGATTGACCTTGGGGGTCTTCTTCATAAATTCTTTGCTAGGCTGATATCTAGAAGAGTTTTTCCAAGATTTCCTTCTAGAATTCTTATGGTTTCATGTCTTAGATTTAAATCTGTTATCCATCTTGAATTAATTTTTGTGAGTGGTGAGAGATATGGATCCCGTTTCAATCTTCTACATGTAGCTATCCAATTTTTCCAACACCATTTTATTGAATAGGGATTCTTTTCCCCAGTGTATATTGCTATCTACTTTGTCAAAGGTCAGATGGCAACATGTGTATGGTTTTATATCTGGGTTCTCTGTTCTGTTCCATTGGTCTACATCTCTATTTTTGTGCCAGTACCATGCTATTTTGGTTACTCTAGACTTGTAGTACAATTTGAAGTCTGGTAAAGTTATGCCTCCAGATCTGTTCCTTTTGCTTAAGGTTGCTTTGGCTATTTGGGCTCTTTTCTGGTTTCAAATGAAGTGTAGAATTACTTT